AGTCATTGGAGTGACCCACTACTTCTCCTGGGCATGCATATTTTTTTACTCTGACTCCACCCTATCACTGAATTGAAGAGTCTGACCAGGAGAAAGCTCTTCTCTTTAGATCTTAATGTCCACCAATCATGTCAGAAAGAATATTTTAGCACAAAGATTGATGTTTAAAAAAGGAATCTTAGGGGACCAGCCAAGGGCCCATCAAGAAAGTGGGGGAATTTAAAAAAAGATCCTCCTCTATACCTTTAACTACACTCAATTAAGCATTTTCTGGCACCAACCATAACAACAGTTTCCCCAATAGTAGTTTTCTTTTATTTGTGAAAGATAATTTGTAGATAAGTTGACTGGATTCTCATCAATGTGTATTTTTTAGCACATTGCTTCGTTTTATTGAAATTTGCTGAGAATTATTTCTGTAATGCTCTTTTAAGGTCCCACTGCACGTTTTCACTAAAGTTTTCAACACCTCGCTTGTTTTACTTTTGAACATTTCTGAAGATTATTTCTAGCTTTGACTCAAGCTTCCTTACTATGTTTGCTTGATACATGCTATGAGTTGTTGATGCTATTACACGATAAGGGATAAGATAAGACAGGACTTTATTGATCTCACAATGGAGAAATTCACTTGTGACATTAACTCTAATAAATAACAGGAGGAGCAAAAGAAGGAAAAGGTAACAAATAAATGTACAAAACACACTCAATACAGTGTTCAGTTGCCATTGTCACTGGAATTTAATATTGCAAACCTAACCCTGTAATGATTTCTTTCAAGGAATTATGATTAGATGGAAATGTCATCCATCATAAAGATATGTTGCTGTCTAAAGTGAATGAAAAGAGGCTGTCGGTCTTGGGGGACTCAAATCTAAAACTCTCGTTTTCCTACTGTATTTATCTCAAGTTTGGCTTTTTATTAAAATCATGCAGTATTATGTGCTTTATTGTCCTAACAGGTAAATATCCCATGTGCTAAAAAGCTTTAATAAGCTACATTTCATTGTACAGTTATTTTAATAGAAAAACACAAATTAACGGATATTGGAAAAAAACTGAACCGAAAATCACGTTAAACCTTTAACGGTTTGTTCTCGGAACGGATTGTTCATACATTTGGAGGAGGAACAGATGGAAGAAGATATGAAAGCTTGAGGTAGTTCATATCAAGTCTTTGACAGAATACCATCTATCTGGAAGTAATCAAACAAAAAAAGAAATCTGTGAGCAGGAAATTCATGATCCACAAAAAAGTCAAGTTTTCTGTAATTACATATTGTTGCTACTTTAACCTGCATCCAACAGATCTTTAAATATCAGCACTGTAATGCAGATAGGTTACATGACATTTTATGCCCAAACAGTTTAATTTTCCCACATTAGAGTAGTGATGACATGACAGCACATCTTTATTCCCTATTTGAAATAAAATATCTGATACAAGTTTAGAAAAAACAGCCGTCCTTCTCTATCAGACTTAAAAATCCTGATGCATCCAAAATTTTACCGATGTCTGATTTATCCTGCATTAATGCATTAACACATTTCGGATTATTGCATGTTAAATATAAGAATGAACATGTGCATTTACAAGAGTGAGAAGAATACTTTATTTTTAGATTTTGTCCTGTTTAAAGCAGGAACTTGATTTTGTGTCATTACTACTAAGATTGTACATTTGCATGCCTTGCCCTGTGACCTTCCAGTCATTAGAGATAGAAAACAATTTACTGAGAGCACCTGGTGATTTTTGCAAGTGTAAACATCTTATTCTCTGTCGGCCTGCCGGCTGCTCTGCTCAGCTCACAAGTCAATAGGCATGAGTTAACATTTATTTGTGCACGCACCTAGTGCATTCCCCTGACAGACTGTGTGCCCCCCAGCTACCGCTTTCTATCTTTCCACTCTCCTGCTTCGCTCTCCCCTGCTCAGAGTCTGTGTGTATTATCACCGGAGACAGGGCTGTACAGCCAGAAAGAAACTGTGCTGATCTCACCTGAGTGATCCCTGTTGCAGTGGCAGGAAACCTATACCGAGTCTCATCATCTGACACTTCCCAAAATGGTCCCTTTACTCAAGCTGCCACGTAGAGAAAGCTGACGGCTGAGAGAGAGTTTGAAGTATTTGGAGGGAACAAGAGACAAAGAGGGCAGAATGAGGTGAACATGGACAAAGTCTGTTTTTGAGGGAGCGAGTGGATGTATAAGAGATGTCTTCAATTGAGCGTGTACAGATCCTAAATGGGTTTTCAGGGAGCAAAGAAAATAAAAGAGTCTGTCATCCCCCGCTCTGCCTCTTCCTCTGTCTTACTTCCCCATCTTCTCAGCCTCTCCAGTCACCTTTCATCCCTCTATTATTAAGGCTTGGTAATGAAATGTGGAGTGTTGCATGTTGGTTCCCGGGCTTTGGCAAACTGTATTAGTGTGTAAATGGCGTGGCTGTAATGAGAAAGCACTCAGGCCAGCTGGACGGTCCGGACCTCAGCCTGTGGATTGTGGGCCTACATGCACACAATCACCAGTGCGTTACATGAATAACAAGAGAGGTTTCTAAGGGGTTGAAGTGCTCTTTCTGTCTTGGTTGCCAATCCTGTGATTGTTAGACTCCAACAGAATAGAGTAGCTTAGAAAACCCATTTGGTCAGCAGCACACAATTCAGCATCAATGTCACCATAGCGGTGAGGCTAACCTCATTTAGGGCTTTTTTGAGGCTAAGAAAGTAGGCTCAGAAAAACGGTTTATGGCTAATTTCTTATAGACTAACTTCAGTTTATTGTGGTTACTATCAAAAAATGTGTCTAAGTGACGGATCAATGAAATGTCAGGCCGTTAATAGGCATTTTTCTTGTATTTGTTGCGGTGGATATATGCATGCATTCAGCAGTATGACAGTGGCGACAGTGGCGTCGGACGTAGGCCTGAAATTAAACTGTTGACAGTTCAAGCCCCGGCTCTGGATTTCAGTGACCTAAGAGCTTTACATTACATTCAGTCATTCACCCATCCATGCACACACTGATAGTGGCCAGTTACATTGTCTCAAAGGACAGCCACAGAAGCCAGTCTGCTGTACACCAGCGCCACAAGGCCCTCTAACCACCATCAGTAGGTTATTCGGGTGGAGGACACAATGGACACAATGACATTAAAAGCTAGAGCTTGAACCTTTTTTTGCAGGGCTAACTCCTGAATCTAATACCTCTGTCGCAAAATAAGGTCTAAAAACACATTATTACAAAACCTAATACAACGACTGACTGCTAACACTACTGGTAATTGATTTTTATGTAAAAGTAAAATCAATTTGCTTCATTCAGACTTTACTTATGACTTTAGATGTTTTTTTAGTGAGGCTGCTAAAAGCAGGAGACTTAAATTCCCTTGAATTCAAACTGGTGTCTTATTGTGTACTTAAATATTCTCCTCAGGGCAGAGCTCTCTGCCCCTGTGGCAAATCAGCACTTTTTGTCTCATTCACCATCCATCAGAATGAATTAATGATAGCTGTCAAGAAAAGTCACCCTGTCACTTTAGATATTTTACATACAGGTACTAAAGATACTTAAACATACATATGCAAATTATACTATCAGGGAACAATGACAAGGCAGGAGAGACAGACAAAAGGAAGAATGTCTAACTTCATAAAATTAGCATTAGTTACAGTAAAAGTCGTTTTCAACACTGACTGTAGTAAACTATAAAACGGTTGTTAATTTAATTAGATGATGCTACGGTACTTTCTTACCCTTGTGTGACCGTGTTAAATGTCAAGTAAACTAAATCCCCACCCTCTACAGAACTGATTTATTATTGATGTTGAAGGAGGAAAAAAATGCCACTCTTTTCATTTTTTAACTAGAGTGCAAACATTTTTCAGCTGTCAGGCCACATGTGTACTCCTTTAATGTTAGAATGCAAGTGAACTCACAAATGGGCTCTTTTAACTTTTAGGATCAAATGAGGTAATCCAGTCTGGTTCTGCAAACATTTAAGAACAAAAAGAATACACAAACGCTAGAAACAGCAACACAGTTTAGTTTTTTTCTGAGATAATTCTGTGCGGCTCCAACGTGAACTCATATTAAGCAGCAACAATGTTGTTCTACTTTATTTTTGAGGCTGGTTGTGGCTGGGTTTTCTTCTGTTTCTTTTGCTTCAGTCAGATTCCATTTTTGTGGGAATTGGCATGTTCAAAGGAGTGATATTTTCATATGACTGACCAGCCTCAACTTGATTTCTTAAGCCACAACAAAACAAGACTGAGGCTGAAACTGAGGACTCATAGTGTAAAAAACCAAGACCCCAGCCCTGGATTATATACATGCAATGTTAGTAGTTCAGAGCCTCAGTGTTTTGTGATTTTATCTAGGGTGAAAATGAGATTTGATTTATCCAAAAGTGGACTTTCTTCATTTGATCTTTTCTGCGCTGTGATGAATCTGGTTATCTTTTTAAAGAAAAAGTGTCTTCAATCATATTACCTGGCATATTGAGCATAACTCCTATTAAGTAATAGTGCTGAAGGGCTCATCTCAATCGTAGGCTCTAATTCGTTTTTTGAGGTGCCAATCCCTGAAATTTCCTAATTTCTGATTAAACATACAAGAAGGATTTTTCATTTCTGTTTTGTTTTGCTCCTCCATAATGCTACAGTTTGAATGACTTAGATTAAGGACTTTCCAAAAAAAAAAAATTAAAAACAATCCAGTGGACATTGGTTCCAAGTTTGAAGACGTTTCGCTTCCGATCCAGGAAGCTTTTTTAATTCAAAATGTCAGGAATAGTGTTGAGTTCGACGTTTTATACCGCAGCCCAACAAAGCCTTGTTTTTGTTTTAGATAAAGGGTCCTTACTTCTGACTGTGTTGTATAATTGTTTTTGAAAGTTCCCTGGAGAAATGTTCACGTTTTCTTTTGCTATAAGGTCAAACTCAGTACCTTCCTCCAGTTATTAGTCTTTTTAAAGCAAGGTTTTGTTTTTTACCTTGTCTTCAGATTTGCTGCCTAAGACTGTGGAAAGTGTTTTCATCTTCCAAGAGGGGATCGAGAGTGAGACAAACGCTGCTGCAGCAACATATGATGCCATTGTTGTAGAACAATGGACCATCATTGATGTAAGTAAATATGTACATGTCTTTTAATCTTTGAGTTTATGGAGTCTTTACCAGGTGTTCTGTGTGCAGCACCGGGGAAACAATGTACCTCTTCCTATATATAATAGAAAAATCCCTTTATTTTCCCACAATGGGGAAATTCTGGATTCTTTTCTATATTTTAAAACTACAATGGTGAAAGTTTTTGACTCAAATTTAAAACTCTGTTGATATTGGGGGAATCTAGTGGAAGCTGGAAAAATTATGAATCTCATTTAAGACTTCTGGTAGACTGTACTGTACCTTCAGATTTGAATGAAGGTTGTGCAATTCAGTAATCTACTATTCTAAAATACTGATATCAACTGTATGGATTGTATATATTATTTTGACATTTCTTTTACTTGATGTTTGCCTGTTAAAAGGTCATAGTTCTGTACATTTTCTAGTTTCCCCAAGTGGTCAGAAAATCTTTGTGTTCACACGTCTATTGAAGCAATAATATTTCTCTATCGGATGAGATGTTATTGCTTGATAATTTCTACTAAATATGGGCAGAGCTTGTCTTGATTCTCCAACAATGTATTTGCATTAGTTTTGATTACATTCGGTTATAATCTTGCCTGCCCAAGAATTATACAACATGCCCAACAGTCGGACAGCTGGAACTTAAAGTTAAATATGCTGCATCATCAGATGAATAGGAATACAATGCTGTCCTAAAGGAGGGAATTTTTTCAGTGCCATTGAAATGTCCAACTTACACTTAGCATGAGATTTTAAATCTGAGAAAAATAACTGAAACTTTTTAAGATGGAAGTCTTTCGTCTTAAAACAAACTAAGATCAAAATGCATGGGCTATTTGATGTTTAGAGATTTGGAATTTAAATTTTTTATTATTTCCTTTCCTGCTGTTAATAAACTCTATTACAACCATCATATCATTTATTCTCTTTCGTTTATCTGAGGTATACAGAGTTGTGAAAGTAACTTCTTGCAAGTGGAAACCCAGGCATTGCTTTAACTCATTAACAGTTCTCACTTTAATGTGGATCGGAAGGTAATCCCAGACAAATTGCATATCATTTAGCCATCAAAATTTAGGTATTGGGAATTTCACAAGTGCAATGTTCCTAGAAAACCTTGAAAGGAAAAGCTTGCAGCAGCTCAACTCTGAGCTCTCTCTTTTAGACAGAATCCTTCACCTTTAAGGCTGAGCCCAACAACTCAATAGGGGAAGCTAAATTCAGTGGGTTGTATCAAGCATCCTCTTTCATTGGCCGCATCTATTGACTGTAAGTGATGGTTGCAATGAGCTGGACCAATAGGTCGTTATGACAAAAGATGCTTTTAATTAAGAGACATGACACCCTGTTCGATTTATATATTCTTGCAAGTGATCAACGGCAAGTGTGCTTGAAAATCCCCCTCTGTTTGAAGTAGTGAACCATGGCTTCAGAGTTTAGTGCTTTCATCATATTTGTGATATCAAATATTGATATTTTTTTGTAGCAAAACTCACTGTTGCTATATCATTTAAGTCAACTCCTTCTCAGATCTGTATCCCCATCATCTTGTTCCTGCTCCAACCTCACTACCAGAACTCCGAAGGCCAAACTGGCAAATCTGTTTGTATGGAACATGTGTTGTGGTAGTTTGTCTTATCAGAGGCAAACAAGGCTTTATCAGAAGGCCGATAAGTGTCTCTTCTCAACAAGTTCCAAGTTGGAAATTGATTTTTCATGGGAGTAAAAGGGTTGGCAGGCGTTTTACATCCTTTCATCTGTTCATGTCTGTTTTTATGTTGGCCCTTGAAACTCAGTGTGCGTGTGTTTGTGTCCGTCAGTCAAGAATGTTTTATTCTTGGTATTGTGTCCCTATATGTGTGCTGAGATGCTATCTCTGTAATTGAATTTTGACTTTGTCGCCTCTGGCAGTCCAAGTGTGAAAGGAGACTATTGTCCCTCACAGAAATGGGTCTCTCTCTGACTGACCACCATGGTACTGATGGCCTTTTGTGCCAATAAAAAGTCTCCTGCAGTCCTTCCCTCTTCTCAGCTGAATGGCAATAATGTTACAGTTAAATGGATTTCAAGGCTTCCTCAGAAACACCAACCACGAGTGATGCCACACCGTTGCTAGTGTTCTGGAAGATCCAATCAGCTCCCCTCTCATGGAGGCTTTATCAAAAGCCGTTCCACTCGAGTGAGCTGCCAGTTTAGATTGACATTTGCTCTTTCACAATGGCTGATCAGGACTCCACGTCAATTCTATTATCCGCAATAACTGTTGAAAATTGATATGCAAAGCATCCTCACAGCTTCTTATTGTTTCATCTCTGTAATCATTAAGATAAGAAATAAAGAATATTAATTGCAGTAAGTTTTTTTCTTACATCTTTGGTTAATTCATCTCCTCTTCCCTACTTTCATGCCTCCAAATAGTATCACAGGTGGTGTGTTATATGAAACTCTGAGAAGAAGAGAAGTGCGTGTGCAATCATTTATATTGTTGTCAAGTGGGAGTGTGTCATCTCCCGATTGGAGGTTCTTTGTCAGGGATGGCAGAAAGGTATTAAAATATAATTGTATGATTCATAACCTAGTTAGAAATTTTAGGAAGATTAGCATTTTGAACAGATTCAGCTTTCTATTGCTTCAGATCCACTGGTTTTCTATTATCCTTATAATTACTGCAAATAAGTGGAGTATTCTGGGATCAGTTTGCATTAGTTAAACATTGATCCAATGGTTAAAAAAAACTGATTGGTTTAGTACATAACAATACAATCAAAATGATAAATACATGATGGGGACTGTAATAAAAGTTGTGCTTTTTAACAATTTAAGTAACATTAAAAATTTATCATTTAAAAGGGCAAAGAAAAGGACCCTAAAATGTGTCAAATCTTGTATAGGGAGATGGATTCAAATTGGATAGATTATTCCATTCTTGGAATATGTTTCCTGATAAATTGGCAATGACAGAGAAAAGCAAATGTCGATTTGTAGCCTTCACTTCACATACTTGAAACGAAAATGTGTCTAAAAACTGATGAAGAAAAGCAACCATTAAGAAGCCTTTAGGTTAGGTACCATTAAAAAAACAACTTATTATGTTAAGAAAGCAGTAAGTACTACTGCCTATGCACTGTAGCACTTTGCCAGGAGTTCTCTCTATGGTTAAATAAATAAATAGATACACTATATTGCCAAAAGTATTTGCTCACCTGCCTTGACTCACATATGAGCTTAAGTGACATCCCGTTCCTAATCCATAGGGTTCAATATGACGTCGGTCCACCCTTTGCAGCTAGAACAGCTTCAACTCTTCTGGGAAGGCTGTCCACAAGGTTTAGGAGTGTGTTTATGGGAATTTTTGACCATTCTTCCAGAAGCGCATTTGTGAGGTTGCACACTGATGTTGGACGAGAAGGCCTGGCTCTCAGTCTCCGCTCTAATTCATCCCAAAGGTGTTCTATCGGGTTGAGGTCAGGACTCTGTGCAGGCCAGTCAAGTTCATCCACACCAGACTCTGTCATCCATGTCTTTATGGACCTTGCTTTGTGCACTGGTGCACAGTCATGTTGGAAGAGGAAGGGGCCAGCTCCAAACTGTTCCCACAAAGTTGGGAGCATGGAATTGTCCAAAATGTCTTGGTATGCTGAAGCATTCAGAGTTCCTTTCACTGGAACTAAGGGGCCAAGCCCAGCTCCTGAAAAACAACCCCACACCATAATCCCCCCTCCACCAAACTTTACACTTGGCACAATGCAGTCAGACAAGTACCGTTCTCCTGGCAACCGCCAAACCCAGACCCGTCCATCAGATTGCCAGATGGAGAAGCGCGATTCGTCACTCCAGAGAACGCGTCTCCACTGCTCTAGAGTCCAGTGGCGGCGTGCTTTACACCACCGCATCCGACGCTTTGCATTGCACTTGGTGATGTATGGCTTGGATGCAGCTGCTCGACCATGGAAACCCATTCCATGAAGCTCTCTGCGCACTGTTCTTGAGCTAATCTGAAGGCCACATGAAGTTTGGAGGTCTGTAGTGATTGACTCTGCAGAAAGTTGGCGACCTCTTCGCACTATGCGCGTCTGCATCCGCTGACCCCGCTCCGTCAGTTTACGTGGCCTACCACTTCGTGGCTGAGTTGCTGTCGTTCCCAAACACTTCCATTTTCTTATAATACAGCTGACAGTTGACTGTGGAATATTTAGGAGCGAGGAAATTTCACGACTGGATTTGTTGCACAGGTGGCATCCTATCACAGTTCCACGCTGGAATTCACTGAGCTCCTGAGAGCGACCCATTCTTTCACAAATGTTTGTAAAAACAGTCTGCATGCCTAGGTGCTTGAATTTATACACCTGTGGCCATGGAAGTGATTGGAACACCTGATTCCAATAATTTGGATGGGTGAGCAAATACTTTTGGCAATATAGTGTATAACTAATGACAACAATAGGTCTATCAATGGTACCACTAATGGAATAGACACAGCCAAACAGAGACACTCTGGGCCAAAAGCAGTTTCTGTGAGACAGAAAAACAAAGAGAGTACACTTGATTAATGGCAATTGTTACATCAGTGATTCTGTTCAGGGAAAGAAGGATACTTTAAACAGTGCATCAGGCTAATTCTCTTCTATTGGGCATGTTATACAAAAATAGTATACGTTAGTGGCAGTAATTGGTCAATTAAGAAAACTGTCTAGGAAAGAAATATAGTTAAACCAATAAGCACTGAATAAAGAGTAATGTCTATAAAAACCAGAGAGTCCAGAACTTTATTTGCTGCAACATTGCCTATGACTAGGAAGAGGGGCACAGAGACGCAGAGGCACTGCGCCAGAGTTTCCTTATATATGAAAGGAAAACAAAGATGGTACAAAAGGTTAATGGCAGCAATGGATCAGTAAATGGCCATGCCCCATAAAGAGAAAAAAATTAACACAGAGTCATTGGTCCAGGCATACATTTTATAGAAAGCAATACAGAGAGAAAACAAAAGTTAA